ATGCAATCTTTAAAATAAACTCAGTACTTTCAGAAACATAAAAAAAACCATATGTATGAAATAAATAAGCTACAAGTATATATAGTATAACAAGGCAATATAGCCAATATTTTAGAATAACTATAAATGGAATATAACCTTTAAAATTTTTGAATCACTATGTTGTACAACTGAAACTTATATAATATTGTACATCGACTATACTTCAATAAAAAAAGGGGAAAATTGTGTGATCATCTCAATACATACAGACATTTCAGTTGACAAAGTTAACATCCATTCTTGATAAAAACTCTCAGAAAACTAGAAATAGAAGGGAGTTTCCTGACCTTGATAAAAGGCATCTATGAAAACCTTATGGCTATCATTATACCTAACGGTGAAAAAAAGAATGTTTTCCCTAGGATCAGGAACAAGGCAAGGAGCCAAGGCAACAAGGTAAAAGATAAGGAAATAAAAGACATTCAGATTAAAAAGGAAGAAGTAAGACTGTCTTTACTCATAGGTGATGTGATCTTCTATACAGAAAATCCTATGTAATCTACAGAAATGCTAGCATTAGTAAATGAGTTTAGCAAGGTCAGGGATATAAGACAAAATATACAAAACTCAATTGTATTTTTATATGTTAGTAATGAAAAATCAGAAATTAAAATTAATAACTTAATACTATTTATAATAACATCAAAATATTAAATACTTATGAATAAAGCTGACAAAAGATGTGCAAGATCTATATGCTGAAAACTATAAAATACTGCTGAAAGAAGTTAAAGAAGACCTAAATTAGTAGAGACATCAACTGTTCATTGGCCAGAACACTCAATATTGTTAAGATATCAATGGTCCCCAAATTGTGTCATGTACATTGAACTTTAGGAAGTGAAATTATGCTTTATATTTATTAGGGGAGCTTTCGTCATAAAGGAATTTCATGATAACCACACTGAGAAGTAAGGAAGTGATTTGCGCATTTTGTAACTCATGATACAAGGCTGTGCATTCATTCATTCACTCATCTATTTATCCATGTTTTACATTCTACCTACTTCCAGAAAGGATCCTGTCAGTTTGCTTGCATGATACCCTGATATGTGCAAGATTGCCTTGTTCTGAGTGTAAAATGAGGACAGTAATACCTATTTTTCAGGGTTGTTGTCAATAGCAAAGATAATATATGTAGAGTACCTACAGGTGCAATAAATTGGAGCCATTATGGATATAGAACAATATTAATAACTCAAAAATATATTTATGATTTAGTATTAATTCAATCTTACAGTAACACAATGTTGATTGTTATAATATTGATATATTATAATATAAGTTAACTGAGGACATGATGCAAGAAGGCCATCCTGGCCAACCAGATCAGAAGAATAGATCTGGAGATCAGTACGGTGACCAGATAGAGGGTTATTACATCCATGTAAGAAAATAGGAAATAAAAGATTTGGCAGCACTTAATTTTCCACTCAAAGCTCTGAGAAGAGATGCTGTAAAGCAACTGTGGCTGTGGCTTCTGATTTTGGACCTCGGGAGGCACTTCCTGCTGTGCTTCTTTGCCTCCTGGACTGTGTGTGCCTTTGCCCAAAGTGGACTCTGTTTCTTCTCCTCTTTCTCCTTCCCTTCCTGGTCATCCTCCTGATTCTTTCAATATATTTGTTTCCTGATAATCACAGTTATACATGTTCAAGTTAGAAAATTTAGAAAATACACAGCGAAAACCATAAAGATCACCTTCATTCCCCTCTCCCACCCTCAGAAATAACCACTGCTTAATATCTACATTTTTGTCTTTTTTCTAAGCATATTCTGCCTAAATTGTATCATCCTATGCATCGTTTTAAAAATTTATTGTTTGGGATATAGTGAAAATTTCCCAGTGCTATTAAAGGTTGTTCTGTCATGTGATTATGAAACACTGCATAGTATTTCATTGCAAGAATGTACCATAAATAATCATTCCCATTTTAGTGGACTTTTAGGTTGTCTTCAATTTTTTTCTTTTCGTAAATAACTTTGTGATGAGCATCCGCACCATCAAATCCTCATGCACATCCTTACTTATTTCTGTAGCATTCTTTTCTGAAGGTGAAATTACTGGATTAAAACTCTTGCCTAGGGCTTCCCTGGTGGCGCAGTGGTTGAGAGTCCGCCTGCCGATGCAGGAGACACAGGTTCGTGCCCCGGTCCGGGAAGATCCCACATGCCGCGGAGCAGCTAAAAAACCCTTGCCTACGTGTAAACCTTTTGATACCTACTGCTAAATTTTCCTTGTGAAAGTTGTTTAGCAATGGACAAGGGAGTCAGTTTGCCCACATGTGTGCTGACTCTGGGTACTTTTCCCCCTGATATTTGATAATTTGAAGGAAGACAAAGCATATCTAACTGTGGTCTTAATTTGCATTTCTCTAATGACTGGAGAGTGAAAGTCCTGTATCTAGTGTCATCCTTTCTAGCTCTCCTCCCGAAGCTACCTCACCTGCCCTCATTACTCAGAGTGACAATTGGATGGAAGGACTTCATTTGCTTTTCTTAAAAAATAGAAATATATATTACATTTATTTGTATTTTAACAACCCACGTTGTCAGTTTTTAATTATTCCTCATTTATTTTCAACTTTTTTTTTTTTTTTAATTTTTGGCTGTGTTGGGTCTTCGTTGCTACGTGCGGGCTTTCTACGGTGGTGGCGAGTAGGGCTGGGGAGGGCTACTCTTCCTGGGGCACACGGGCTTCTCATTGCGGTGGCTTCTCTTGTCGCAGAGCACAGGCTCTAGGTGCGTGGGTTTCAGTAGTTGTGGCGTGTGGGCTCAGTAGTTGTGGCTCGCAGGCTCTAGAGTACAGGCTCAGTAGTTGTGGTGCACGGGCTTAGTTGCTCCGCGGCATGTGGGATCTTTCCACGGCTCGAACTCATGTCCCCTGCATTGGCAGGTGGATTCTTAACCACTGTGCTACCAGGGAAGCCCTGCTTTTTTATTCTTAGTATCTGGTGCAGACCATTGCACCACATGTTTTCTATGAATGCTCACTATAGCCCTATCTACGAGGTGGGTACTGTTATTAACTCCACTTCATGTGTGAATGAGAGGAGACTTGGAGTAAACTAGTCTGTCCAAGGTCACACCAGGGAGGTGATGGCAGAACCAGGGCTTGAACCCAGGCTGACTCTAGAGCCCATCCTCTTAATCACTTAATGAACTATCTGAATCTAGGAAGATGGGGCCCTGGGGGTCTCCTCTTATTAAATTTCAGGCAGCCCTGGTTCAGCTTGCAGCTCCACATCACTCTGGGTGTGGCTACCCAGGTTGTGTTTCAAAAATACCTTCTCATTGAGGGTTTGGGGATTGGGGGTAATTCCAGGGCATCCAGGGCCCTGCCTACTTCCACCTTCAACCTTAATTGATAAGGTAGAGAGCCTTTCTCATTTACCTAACTTGTCTTGTTCACTTTCTGAGTAGCTGGTAACCTGCAGGAAAGTGGGTGGGATGGAGGCAAAACAAACAAACAAACAGCAACAACAAAACCATCCTAACCGTATTCCTAACCTTACAATGTCCTAGCGTTATGTTGCCATTTGCAACATCAGGGGATTGGGGGGGTGTTATATGCATGCATCATGATTTTAAAACAACGAACAAAGAAAACAACCCTAAAGCAGTGTGCTGTTCGCTGTGAGAAAAACAGAACTGGAAATGTGTTCAAAGCTTGAGTCCATCTTCAGTTTCCCCATCTTGCTTTGACTGCCCCACCTCCTCCAAGCCCCACTTCGCCATCTTCCAAGACCTGCAGAGATCTGGCCTTGTGACTTCCATAAAACTCTCCTCTATTTTTTTTTTTTTTTGGTCAGTGCCACAGGGCTCGTGGGATCTTAGTTCCCTGACCAGGGATTGAACCCAGCCCCTCTGCAGTGAAAGTGCTAAGTCCTAACCACTGGACTGCCAGGGAATTCCCAAAACCCTCTTCTTTAGAAAGGATTTGAAGTCTTGGAGAGAATGTAAGAGACAGTTTCTCTCTTCCTTGAGTATTTGCATTTGAACTTCAACCCCAAGGGTGGCATGAAAGATTTGTTTCCTGCTCAAGGAATTTCAGACAGTAGCAAGTAGGAGGGGAAAGAGTCGTACAGGAGGGAATCCCTTAGAGTCTCCCTGTGCTTAGTGCACACAGTGACTCACACCTCCCAGGGACGATCGTCCTCTTTTAGTTTAGTAATAATAACAATAGGCATATGTGGCAAGTGCTCTACATGCATCATGTCCTTGAACCCTCACATCTGCCTGTGAAGAAGCTTCCCCTTTATACATTGAGAACTGAAGACCCTCAGATGTCAACTCTCCCAGGGACACAGAGCTAGTACACGGGTGGAACTAAGACTTGAACCCAGGTCCTTCTAACTGCAGACCCTGAACTCGTAGGATTAGTGCCTTCATAATGAAATGCAGGAACTTCACTGCCCTGGTTTCTTGTTTCTCAATAGTCAAACTTGAAAAGCTGTCAGGGAAGAGCTCCAGGCTACATTGTGGGTCCACGATTGGCTTGCAGTAGGCACTTCCCAAGCCTGACCTGGGACACTAAATGCAAAAAGAAGCCAGTCCTCCCGTGTTTACCTGGCTAGCTCTGGATATAGGTTCTCATTCTTCTAGACTCCTCCCTGTGCCTTCTAAATCACACTCAGAGTGTCACCCTGCAGTGCTCACTCATGGCATTTATAGACTTAACCATGATGCCAGCCTCTGTGTTGAGCACTTACCTCCTTCGATCCTCACAATTATTCTGCCAGGAGGCACAGTTATTATACCCATTTCAAAGATGGAGAAACTGAGTCCCAGAGACTCAGGCCACATGGAGGTAAGCAGCAGAGCTGGGATTCAATACCTGGCCTATGACTCCAGAGTGTACCCAATGCAGCCTCCATCTCTGCCCTACCTCCTGGGTGGCACCCTTTCTCCCATCAAGCTCGCCAACTCTTTCTGATGCCTCCCTGTGTCTGTCCTCCTAGTTTGGATGAAGATGGCAAGTTCCTCAGGCTCCTGGCTCTCCAGATGCTTCATCACACTCGTCTTCCTCCAGTTGCCTTTGCGTGTGTCAGGTGAGAGTTTCCGTACCTCTTTCCCTGCCTGCGACATCTGACAAAGGGGTTCCAAGAATAAGGAGGCCAGGCCCAAGACCTTGTTTCTTCTCGGGTGCATGTTCCAGAGGGCAGGCCGGGCTTGGCGAACCTCAGTCTCTCTCCGGGGGTCACGCAGTGCTGAGCAAGAACTCACATCCAGCTTAGGCTCTTCGCCACTTGTCCTAGAGCCTCTCCTGCTGTTCTTTTCTTCGCTAGTTCTTCCTTCCGTCCTTCTTTCTCTCCTGTCTAGACGTTCGGCTTGCTGCTGTAACACCATAGAAATTGTTTTGCCCCTGCTAATAGGGCTCGGGCAAAGAGTTCGCCGACTGCTGTTCTATCTCAGAGTGAGGATTTGAAGCGGGAGCAGCTGGGTGCTCATGAGAAGACTATAGCGGTTCCTGAGGAAGCACCTCCAGTTCTCCAAAGTCTCGGGCAGGATGAGATTGTGGTTGAGATGCTGAGTTTGAATCAATGTCTTCAGGCAGGACCATTGAAACCAATCCTGAGAGATAAACATCTCACTTTAAAGTCATTCCTGGGTCATGTGGGGTTTGAGTCGCTGAGAGAAGCAGAGAGCCTCACCAACTTGGCTGGAGGTCTCTCTCAAGGTGATGGAGGCAGTTGGGATGTGCCTGAGTCACCTGCCATTCGAGGTGGGGCCCTTGACACGGAGAAGCTCTCAGAGGGTGGTCACAGGTGGTTTCTGTTTCAGCCCCATCTCCAGGGAGGTTCTCCTCATCAGCAGTGGCTCTTGCTGTGATCCTGCCTGTCCTGGGGATTTTCATCACGGTGGGCATTTACATCATCTGGAAGCAAAGAAGGTCAAAAGGTAACTAAGTGGTAAGGGAGCCGAGGCTGGCAGGAATTGGTACTGCAGCCTCTCTAGGAAAAGGCTGGAAGGAAGCAGACAGAGACCTAACAGTTATCCATAGGTTGTCTGGGAGAAAACTGGTAGAGCTGTGTTCTGGGGACCCACATTGAAGAAAGGATCAAAGAAAGTGCAGAAAGCTCCTGGGCAGAGCTGTGAATTAATTAGAAGACTGGCATCATGCCAGTCTTCTAATTAATTAAGAAATCCAGGGCTTCCCTGGTGGCGCAGTGGTTGAGAATCTGCCTGCTAATGCAGGGGACACGGGTTCGAGCCCTGGTCTGGGAGGATCCCACATGCCACGGAGCAACTAGGCCCGTGAGCCACAACTACTGAGCCTGCGTGTCTGGAGCCTGTGCTCTGCGACAAGAGAGGCTGCGATAGTGAGAGGCCCAGGCACCGCGATGAAGAGTGGCCCCCGCTTGCCACAACTAGAGAAAGCCCTCGCACAGAAATGAAGACCCAACACAGCAAAAAAAAAAAAAAAAAAATCAATTAATTAATTAATTAACTCCTACCCCCAACATCTTAAAAAAAAAAAAAAGAAATCCAATCATATCCATTAGATAAAACCCTCATTAATATGGTTGCATTTCAGGGCTCGCAGGGTTGCCAAGGACCTTGAAAGTCACATAACTGAACACTCCTTTCCCTGTCTGATGGTTTGAAGACCCTCTAATCCTTTCTAATGGTCACACACCCACAGCGACAAGGAGCAAAGTCCTGCTCAGGCAGCTTGTGGTCCCTTGGACAGCTCTGCCTGTTAGAAAAGGACCTTCCTTAAGCTGAGCTGACATCTCTCTCTCTCTCTCTCCCTTCCAGAGAGGCTTCTCTATGAACACGCAATGGAGGTAGGTGAGTGTCCTGGGCTGGGCAGGTATGTTTTTCTGTTTTGTTCATTTTTGTGTCCCCAGGGCCCACTAATCTAAATTCCGGACCTGAAGATTCCAGTATCTGCTGGGTGGTGACGGTGGTGGTGGTGTCAAAACCTGTTGTTCCCAGTTTCTGCTGACTCTACCTTGTAATAGCTTGCCTTCCAGTATGTTCGGTGACTTTGTCTCTGAGATCATGGCTTGATCTTATCCTGGGGGAGTCGTGTAGGTCTAAGGTAGGGGACCCAACAAATAATTGATAATTCTCTGCTAAGCGGTGCAGACTATACCAGACGCTGGGGACACAACAGTGAGTGAAAGCGGACACGGTCTTTGCCTTCTTGGAACCTTTTGTCTAGTCAGGGAGGTATACGTGCATTAAATAATTACACAAATAAATGTGTACAGAAGCTACAAAAGGAAGTTCTGAAGGCTGGGAAGACGGTGACTGGGTGGAACCAACCAAACTTCAGGGATGGCAGAGGAGTTTCCAGATGATGGTCCCAGTGATGTTTGATCTGGAAGACGGACAGGCATGGGGGAAGAGGGAATAGGAAACCACCCACAGCAGAACAGCTTGAGAGAGAAACACGGTGCAAAAGTGAGGGGAAAGGTGGCAGAAGGTGCTGCTGCAGAGTTAGGCGGGGACCAGCATGTGAGGCCTTGCAGATCCCATGAAGGGTTTTCGTCTTTCTCCTTGGAGCTGTGGAGAAGCTGCGAATGGGCTATCCTGACCAGAATTGTGCTTCCAGAAAGCTCTCTCTGGCTGCTCTGTTGAGAGGAGACCAGAGGGAGCGAAACAGAATTTGAGGACAATTTGGGCCGCTCTCTCTGGCATCCAAATGAGAGAGATGAGGGCCTGGATCAGGGAGGTGGAGGTGGAGACAGAGGGGGACAGGTTCAAGAGCCCATAAACTCAATAGGAAGCAGGGACACTCAAGGTAATGGCACAGAATCTCATTTTCTTTTACTTTCGTTCCTCTAGAAAATCTTCTCTCAGACCATGCAAAAGAAAAAGGTAATTATATATATAGAATAAGGGGTAGGGAACAAATAACACTTTTTCTCCTACATAAATGCTGGTGGCTGTTATACATACAATATATATGTGGTGTATGTGTATACACACATGCACACACCCACACACACACACCACACATATATTCTCTGTTAATACCATTGGAATTTATTTTTTAATATCAAGGGGTTATAGGGTTGGTAGCAGTGGCCAAAGGGATGCCTGGGGTCAAAATTCATAGGTTCCTTCATTGGCTTTCCCACCAATAACCTAAAAAGAAGATTCATATACTATTTTAACATATATTAAAATGGTATTATAGGAGGATCCATACAATCTTTGCATTGAGAGAGGTGGTGTGATACAGTGGGAGGGGCATAGGCTCTGGAGTCAGCAGCACCTGGCTCAGATCTGCCACTTGCTGGCTGGGTTAAGTCGCTTTACTGCTCTGAGCTTTGGTTTCCTCATCTGTAAAATGGGGATAATAGATCTCTTCACCCGATTATTTTTAGGATTAAAAGAGACAACTTAAAAAAAAAACCCACACAACTCCTACTACAGTGCCTGAAACCTTTCCCTTATTGCCATTTTGTCTTCATTAATTGAATGTTTGCTCTGGGCCACTGAGGGTAAAAGACAGACACCCCAGGTACCAAAAAGCAGGTGGGGCTCTGCCCTCTGAAAGTCTAGCTGGGAAGACAAGTCACTGGCTCAGAAATGGCTCCACCTGCAGTGATTTCGGCATCTCCTCCCTTCCCCACTCACATCTGCTCCAGACTAGTTAAAGCATAGGGGTGCACACCTCAGGGACACAATGACCGTCGTGTCCTAGAAGGGAGGGAACAGTGTGGTGTAGTGGGGAAGGCCTCCAACTAGGAATCAGACAGACTTGGGTTTGAATCCTGCCTCCTTGGCCACTTACCAGCTGGATAATCTGGATAAATTTCCATGTCCCTCTGAGCCTCAGACCACCAGTCTGTAAAATGGGAATAATAATTATATGCACCTCATATTGTTGAGCAGATTCAGGGCCTACGTCATAAAAACAGGGCACACTAAATGGAGGCTGTCGGTAGTGGGAATGGTAAAAATAAACCGTTATCTTGTTAGGGGCCATATCATATTCAGCTTCGCTGCCCCAATGCCCAACACCTAACATATGCCCAGCCCTTAGCACAGGGCCTGGCAGTGCACGCAAATGTATAATTTCAACTCTGTGGCAGGGCCAGTGCTAAGGGGAAAATGTGGGCAGATGACCCTTCCAGAGAGGCTGCAAGTACTCCCCCAAAGCACAGAAGCATATGCACATGTCCCAGACCTTCTGGGGTCTCCAAATTTGTGTTTCTCCACAGTACTTCAGCGGGGTGGGGGGAGGTTAGTGTAGAGAATAACAGCCCACATCAGTAAGTCGATGGTAGGCCTTCAGCTAGTTTTACACCATAGATATTATAAACAGTTATAAAAGGGCGGCAAGGCATACACTCATGGACACTCGGTTACAAACATATTGGAAACACTCATATGAACAGCGGAAATGAAACCAGACAGACAAAAGGAAGGGAAGAGGAACCAAAGTCAGGGTAGTCCAGGTCATCTGGGAAGTGGCACCAGCACCGGTGAATTCCCCGGTCTGCCCTTAGGGGGATGTGACTGTATTGGGGGCTGATAGGATTGTCATCATTCTTTCAGCGGGGGGTTGGGTTTGGGGGCCGAGGGGCATAGGGGTGGAGTGATGAGACTTCCTGGGCCCTGGGGATAAAGCGGCAGGATCTGCTCACTCGTGCCTCTTTCTCTGTTTTTCTAGGACGTCTCTATAAAGCCCTCAGTAAGTTCTGCTCCCCTTCCGTGCCACAAACCTCCTTCTGCTGACATCTTTGCTTTATGATGAGAGTCTCAGATTCACCTTCTGGGGCAGAAGAGAGGGGGCAAGGGCAAGGATACTTCAAGCATGAGGGTGGGGAATTTCCTGGCTCCCTAAAGCCTCTTTTTCCTCAAATATTCTGTGCTCCTCTTTCCTGCACAATTGTTGTGTAGTCACTAAATGGGAAATGTTTTAGCAAGAAGAGAGATACCTTCCATAGGTGAAGACATCTGGGAGACACTTCTATCACTCAGGCATGACGTTGCCTTCGGTGGGATCCAAGGTAGATGGATCCTCATTCAACTGAATATGTGGAACAGTGCTTCTCCACCTGTTCATGTATGAGACCCTCTTCATAACAACAACAACCCCAAATCCTCAGACATGTGATATGTCTATTTGATTTTACATTGAGAAAACACGCATAAGAAAATCTAATGGAAATTAGTAATAGATTTAAATGAACTTATATTTTATTCTTCTCCCACAACATCTACATACGTTTATGTTGCCATCACTTACATGTGTGAGATGTGTTGTTGATTCAATCTGCAAGTCAGGTTTGGTTCCCATAGGGACTCACTGACCCTCTGCAGTATCTCTGGGGACCCCAGGACCATGGCTGGGAGCCATTGCTGTTGGAAACACTGTCATGGGGAAAGTTCAGTGTATTGCTAGTGGGGATCTGCTCTGGGAATGCGGTTGGGATGGGACTGGAGCATCACAGGCATGTACAAGCCCTCATTCTGATTTGTCAAATTGTTATTCTTTAGAGAAACTCCGGCATGAACTGAGTAAGTTCCCCTGTTCTTATAACTTCTATACCAACTTATGTTGATTCTATGTTTCCAGTGAAAGCTCACTCCCCTTGTTTCTTCTTTTGTAGAGTTAAAGAGAGCTGCAGCAAACTCAGGTGAGGTGCACTCTCCCTGTCCCCCCACTCTACCTGCCCCCACTCCAACTGCACCAGGAGGTCTCCATTTCTCCATTACTTTAACAATCCCTTTTTCTGTCTTTTAGGCTGGAGAAGGGCCCGGCTACACTTTGGTAAGTTGCACCAGTTTAATGGATCCACATTTCAGAGCCCATTGCTCTGTTCCTTTGGAAGGCAGACTGTAATTAAAAAAAAAAGTTAAGTCAAATCTGTTTATCTGCTTATCAAATTTTAAGAGTTTTTGATTTAGAAAGTCTCCCTTCTTTTAGAACGCTGATAAATAATTGGTTTACTCTTCTTATGGGTTTTCCCTGATTTTTGAGATTTTTCTTAAGTTCATTGGTTACTTGTATTTTATCTTTTTGGCTTGTCTGCGCCTGTCCTATTCTGGCTACTTTTCGACTTGTGGGGACTTTTTCTATATTAACTCTTGGTCCTATTTTTCACAAAATATTTTTCTGAGTTTTTCATTTGCATGTTAATTTCCTCATTGTATTTTTTTTTTTTTGGATGCATGAGTGTTTTATTTTTCTGCAGCCTCAGTAGTTGTAGCACACAGGCTCAGTAGTTGTGGCTTGTGGGTTCTAGAGCGCAGGCTCAGTAGTTGTGGCACACGGGCTTAGCTGCTCCGCGGCATGTGGGATCTTCCTGGACCGGGGATCAAACCATGCCCCCTGCATTGGCAGGCGGATTCTAAACCACTGTGCCACCAGGGAAGTCTCTCTATATTACCATGTTAAAATGATAATTATAAGCAATAATTTTAGCTAAGAAAATGAGCGTCACACACTCACTGTGTGAACAAGGCACTGTCTCATGCATTAGCTCATCAGATCTGCACAACAGCTTCTCCAGCATATTATTCAGTGGTGCTATTATTCCTCCTTTACAGATGAAGAAACTGAGGTTTGGAGGTGAATAACAAGCCCAGGGTCACATAACGAGCTTGTGGCAGAGCTGAGACTCAAAACATGCTGTCTAGCTACAGGGTCTAACATCAAAGCCTGTTTATTATCATGCATTAGACTCCTTTGGACCAGCAAAGACAAAGGCAGTGTTTCCTAAGGATTAAGGCAGCTTCACAGATGGGTGAAAAACATTTCCTCTTTTACTTAGTAGGCCATCAGGAGACCTAGGAGACTGGAAGACAGTTTTCTTTAGTTCCAGGACATGTGAAGGTGAGGGCACCATAAACTAAAATGGGCCGATGACAGTGGTTGCAGACCTAGGGATGATTATTCCCTCCAAAGCTACTCAAAGATCCCTTGAGACCTAGCCGTCTCAGACCTCACCTCTCTGTGACTCTCTGCAGTGACGGTGACCCTGGACCCAGACACAGCGCATCCCAAACTCATCCTGTCTGAGGACCGCAGGTGTGTGAAGCTTGGAGACACAAGGCAGCCTGTGCCCAACAACCCTCAGCGATTTGACTTCGTCGTCAGTGTCCTGGGCTCTGAGTACTTCATAGCTGGCTGTCACTACTGGGAGGTGTCTGTGGCAGACAAGAGCAAATGGGCCCTGGGGGTGTGTAGTGAGTCAGTGAGCAGGAAGGGGAAGGTCACCGCCTCGCCCGCCAATGGACACTGGCTCCTGCGACAGAATCGCAAGAATGAGTACGAGGCCCTAACATCCCCGCAGACCTCCTTCCGCCTGAAAGAGCCCCCACGGTGTGTGGGGATTTTTCTGGACTATGAAGCAGGAGTCATTTCCTTCTACAACGTGACCAACCAGTCCCACATCTTTACTTTCACCCACAGTTTCTCTGGCCCCCTTCGCCCTTTCTTTGAACCTTGCCTTCATGATGGAGGGAAAAACATGGCACCTCTAGTCATCTGTTCTAAACTCCAAAAACCGGAAGAATCAACTGTCCCCAAGCCAGAAGAAAAAGGTCTTGCTAATGGAGACGTGGCCCTGCAGGTGGACCCTCTTCTGCTCCCCGCTCAGGCACCAGAGCTCCTTCCACTCACAGATATGATCCTGTCCTGGCCCTCTGACATTGGCCCAGCCCTGCAGGGGCTCAAGGTTCCTTCTTTTTAGGGATGAGCCTCATCACCTGCTCCCCAGACGCTCCAGCCCAGTGCCCTGGATTTCAGTCTCTTGGCCTAACCACCTGATTCTGGACCGTCTCTCCTCCTTTCCCCCAGGCCCCTTTGTGGTTTCTCTTGTACCAACTTTCTCCCAGGGCTCAGTTCTAAACCGTGTCTTCCTTCTGGGGACTTGAAGTTTACATTGCCCTGGAAGAATTCTTGAAAACCAAATGATGGGAATTCCCTGGCAGTCCAGTGGTTAGGACTCCGTGCTTTCACTGCTGAGGGCCCAGGTTCAATCCCTGGTTGGGGAACTAAGATCCCGCAAGCCATGTGCTGTGAGCAAAAAAAAAAAAAAAAAAAAAAAAAAGACGGGAGGAAAACCAAATGAACAATCAGATTAGGTTTAGGTGGTAGTGTTGAATGTGTGTCACTGAGATACAGGGGCTCTTTACTCGAGGAGCTGTTTAAAAGCACTTCATCCTGCCTCATCCTGCACTCAGGCTTGTAGTCATGAAGTTATGATGTGACTTCTTACTTATCCTGCCAAGAACTGCTTTTCTCCTTTTCTCTGTTCAGGCCTCTAGCCCCCATAGCCAGCTTTTTAAAAGTAAACATGTTTTGGATCACACACTCTTCCTTCTTTCTTCTGGAATATAGGGCAGAAGGCCAGAGGAATTAAAAAAAAAAAAAAAGCCACGCTTTTCTATTTCCTTGATCCTGTTTACAGCATAGTTTGGTGACATTCGGTGCTAATGTACATGTTTTCAAAGCTAACTTGGTGATAACCAGGTATGGGGACTTTAAACATGGTAGCCGTAATCCTGAAAAACCCCAGGAGGAAGCTGGGAGGTATGGCTTCAAACAGAGCAGCTCAGCTGTGTGTGGCCTTGAAAAGGCAGCAGTGGGTTAGGCCATCTGTTGCGCTGGCCTTTTTGAATCCCCTCTGGGATTCAGAGAGGCCCAGCTAGAAAAAGTGGCAGTTTTAACCACCAGTATAGAAGCTTTTGTTCTATAAGACCATAATATTGGAAAACTTGACTATTTGTGGAGCAAACAGCCTCTTAGATCAGAGAGTATTGATCTCACATAGGAAGTTGGTAGACCAGGTGTGAGGATAAAATAATGAACTTGCTTTTTTGGTGTGGGTGTCAGAAAGAACCCTAATCACTCTCAAGTCACACCACATATGTGATCTGACCTCTTTGTGGTGATGTTGGCTATCAGTTTGCAGATGGGTACACAGTTCTGCCCAACAGAAAGTGGCTCTATGTGTCTGTCAGAAGTTCTCTTAGTGCATGTATTAGGGTTCTCCAGAGAAACAGAATATGTATTTTATTTTATTTTTTTTGCGGTATGCGGGCCTCTCACTGTTGCGGCCTCTCCCGTTGTGTAGCACAGGCTCCGGACGCGCAGGCTCAGCGGCCATGGATCACGTGCCCAGCCGCTCCGCGGCATGTGGGATCTTCCTGGACCGGGGCACGAACCCGTGTCCCCTGCATCGGCAGGCGGGCTCTCAGCCACTGCGCCACCAGGGAAGCCCCAGAATATATATTTTATATGTGTGTATACAGACGCACACACACGCGCGCACACACACACACACACACACACACAGCAGGAAGAATATATATATTTATTTATTATAGGGAATTTGTTCACACCATTATGGAGGCTGGCAAGTCCCAAGATCTGCAGGGTTAGTCAGCAAGTTGGAGGCCCAGGTGAGCCAATGGTTTAGTTCCCATCCAAGTCTGAAGGCCCAAGACCCAGGAGATCCCATGGTGTAATTCCTGTTTAAAGGCTGACAGGCTTAAGACCCAAAAACCAATATTTCAGTTTGAGTCTAAAGTAGGAAAAAGGTTGATGACTCAGTCTGAAGGCTGTCAGGCAGGAAGAATTCTTTCTTACTTGGGGGGTGGTCAGCTATTTGGTTCCATCAGTCCTTCAACTGATTGGATCAGGCCCACCCACATTAGGGAGAGCAATTTGCTTTATTCAATCTACCGATTTAAATGTTAATCTCATCTAAAAACCCCTAAAGGAAATACTCAGAATAATGTTTGACCAAATATCTGGGCACCCTATGGCCCAGTAAAATTAACCATCACAGCTCCTGAATGGAATTTTTTGTTTGCTTTTGTACAGTCCTTAAATAAAAGTTTGTTATTCATTGTTTGGCATGCTCTTATTTTCATTGTGAACGAGAAGTTGTGGGGAAAGGCTTTGGGCTGGTAAGAGAAGAGCACCTTATGGGATTGGTTTTGAACAGCCTGATTCCACCCATGCAAGCTTTAACCACAGTTAAAAATAAAGCCACAGCTTTATTTCTGCGTCTGCCTTCTCAGTATTTCATTTATATCAGTTTATAAAGTAATAGCGTGTATGGGGTATTTACATTTCACTCATCCATATTAAATTTCAAACATACTTTTGTGAATATCCCAGTCTTAAAACTAATTCACATTATTCACATTGGCTGCACCCAAGGAAACTTACCAGCAGGAAAGAGAACTGACATTTATGGAGGCAGAAGCATTACATATGTTAACTCTTTTTCTTCTTCTTCTTTTTTTGGGGGGCTGCAGTGCACTCCATGCAGGCCAGACCAGGGATCGAACCCATGCCTCCTGCAGCTGAAGCGTGGAGTCTTAACCACTGGACCAGCAGGGAAGTCCTGACTCATTTAATCCTTACAATAAGGAAATAATGCTCTAAATGGCTAGGTAGTAGAACTGGGAGCATAAATCTAGTGTATCTAGCTCTGAAGACAATACCGTTTTCTCTTTGCACTGAAATACCTTGAAGATATGAGAGGCGTGTAGAATTTTAGCATACATATTTGATTAATTAGACTTTTTTTTTTTAAGTTAAACCTGAAAAAAAAATCCTAATCCTGGATGTGCCTTAGTGGTCTTGTTGTGTCTGAACTGATGAACTACAGTCAGGTTTAATTAAACAGCACTCAGAAAAAACTCTGCGCAGGGGCTTTGGGAAACCAGAGGTGGTTCCTTGGACAGAGAACATTTAGCTTCTCTGACAAATGTATTGGATTAGTTGATCTTTGAACTCCCTTCCAGGGGGAGGGACAAATTAGGAGTATAGGATTAACAGATACAAACTAGTATCCAAAAAATAGATAAGCAACAGGGATTTACTATATCATACGGGGAATTATACACAATATCTTGTAATAACCTATATAATGGAATATAATCTGCAAACAACTACCCCAAATCACTATACTGTACACCTGAAACTAACACAGTATTGTAAATCAACTATATATCAATATAAATAAATAGACTCCCTTCCAGTTCCACAATCCTTTGGCTTTAAATTACCACCAGTGAGGCGCGGGACTCTGGCTTCGCGGGGTGTCTACAGGACCATCAACGGTCGCCAACTCAGAGTAAACAAGCATTTCTGAATTCATAACCCCTTGGAGGTCATGTAGGTTAGTTAGCTCTACATAGTCTACAACTTCCCAGACCGGTGGCCCTGAACGTTGGGCTTTTAACGCCAGAGCGCAGAAGGAAATCCGACGACCTTAGAGGGAATCCAGTCTCCACCACTAAATTCTAAACTCAAATTTCTTCTCTGCGGCTACCATCTTCCACAGGACTACAACTCCCAGCAGGCCACGCCCGAGGCCAAAGGTTACTGGCGGCCCTGCCCGAGTTTCTTGCCTTGTGGCAGCCAGTACAGCCAATAGCAAGGAAGGGCAACCCTCAGGAACCAGTCCTGGAGAGGCAGGGCGGATCCTTTCAGGGTTCCGGTTCCGACTCCTTCCCCCGGCGCCCCGAGGCGGTGCTGTCCCTGACCGTACGGCTGGAGCTAGGTTGGTCGGCGTCGGGCCCGGGGTAGCGGTTGCGGGGAGGCGGGAGGGCGCGCGCATGGCGTCTCGGGGAACTCTAAACGTGGCCCCTTCCCTCTCACCGGGCAGTTGGGGCTGTGGCTTTGCTCCCCGGACCCAGTGGGGAGCAAACGGGCCCCTGTGGTCCCTCCGCCCTAACTCCTGACCCCTTCCCCCGGCCTGCACGACCCGACTGCTGGACCCAAACCACTACCTTCCCGCCCTTCTCTTGGCCTTTGAGTAGTCCAGCCCGGCTTCCACTGACCATACATTTGGGGTCAGTTTCTTTTCTCCCACCGCTCCGGCCCCAAGCCCGTCGGCAAGTCTGAACCCAGCTCCTGTGCCCTCAGACTCCGCCCCGCTGCACACGACCCGGCCTCTTGGGCCGGGTCCCCTGACCAGTCGCCTCGGACCCTCTGACTCTTTTGGTCCTTCTCTCTCTCTCACCCCTTATCCACCCGCCCTGTACAATTCCCAGTTCTTTAACACAGTTTCCCTGATCTTTACAAGCTCCTCTCTCTCCTTCCTCCCCCGCCAGCTCTCGACTTGATCCCAAAGACCCCGAACTAAGGCCCTTCAGACCGCTTTCCAGCTTGGCCTCTTCCCTCTAACCCAGGCCTTTGGCCTTCAGCATCAGTGATCAACAACCCCACCTTCCTGGTGCTAACTTCTTAGACTTGGCTCCTTTACCACTGCCTCAGTCCCTTCCACCTTTGGTCCTCCCTGTACCTCTGAGCCTCCTGGGAAGACAAGCCCCATGGGCCCCTTTCTCCTCTGAAATCTCTGAAATGTAATATGTAAGAGCCTCTTTACTTTACCTGCCACTGTCTTCTCAGTAGTTGGTGGGCTCCCCATCTCGGTAAGTCCCAACGTTGCTCACCCATCCTGCAAGTCATAGCTCAAAGACCACCTTTTCCGTCAAGCTGCTCATCTCTGAGCTCTTCAGGGAGATATGCCTGTGTCATAAGAACTACCGTGGCACTGTTCCTTCTTTTCTTTCTTCCTTCCCTCTTTCTCTCCTCTTCCTCCGATACTGGTGTAGTGCTTAAAAGCACTGGCTTTGGAGTAATGGGCATGGCTCCCAGTTCTGCCACTCACTTGCTGTGTGCCCTTGGGCAAATTACAATTTCCCTGCTTCCACTGGAACTTAACCTTCTACACTGTATGAGTTTCTGGAGTTCATGGCCTATTTCACTGCACTGTACCATAAACTCTTTTAGGATGGTGACTATAATCTTAAATCTTTTTGCTCTTTTTTGACCCAGCATTCAGCCCTGGGTAGAGTCACAGCTTGGTATATTGTGGGGTTCTCAGGATAGCAGGATTGGTAGTGAATGGAGGCCATGTAGCTCATTGCATAAAGACAGATGTTGGAGCCCTAGGTGGGATGGGCAGAGGTAGGAAGTAAATTAGATCATATCCATTCCCTTGTACTTAAAAAAAGTTTTGAGCACCAGGCCTTGTGCTGGAGAGATTACCAGAATGACCCAGTCCCTGCCCTCAAGTTGCTTATAAACTAATAGTGGAAATAGACATGTAAACAGATAATTGCAAATCACTGTAAAAGCAAGTACAAGATTCTGTGGGTGCATAAAGGAGGAAGTGGGCAGGAATTAGGAGATTGTTAAGGAATAGTGGGTGAGAATAGACACAAGCAGGCATGAAATGGGTTCTGGAGACAGGCCCGGCCTTCATTCAGTTCGTTCAGCAAATATTTATTAAGGATCTACTAGGTATGACTGCCACTGCTGTAGGAGTTGGGGTTATATTAATGAATAAAGCAAAGAACCTGGCCCTCATGGGACTTACGTTTTGCAGGGGGAGGCCAATACTAAATAATAGACATAAAAAACATTGTTAGGAGTTGAGAAGTGCTGTGGGGCAGGGGAGACTGAGTGAAGGGGAAGGGGTCGTAATTTTTTAATTTATTTTTTTGGAGGGGTTGTAATTTTTAAAAGGATGGTCAGGAGACAGTGAATAAGTATCGGAATAAATTGTTTCTGATTTTTTTTTTACATTTTTGAAGGTGAAGCAAGCCTGTTATTTTTCACATCACTTATCTAGATTCTTGAAAAAGCACTCTCTAATAGAGATTGGTAAATTATACTTCACCTCCTTTTGTTTTTTTTAATAGAGCTTTATTGGAGTATAATTGCTTCACAATGCTGTGTTAGTTTCTGTTGTACACCAAAGTGAATCAGCCATATGCACACATACATCCCCATATCCCCTGCCTCTTGAGCCTCCCTCCCATCCTCCCTATCCCACCCCTCTAGGTCATCGCAAAGCGCCGAGCTGATCTCCCTGTGCTATGATGCTGCTTCCCACTAGCTAACTATTTTACTTTCGGTAGTGTATATATGTCAATGCTACTCTCACTTTGCCCCAGCTTCCCCCTCCCACCCCATGTCCTCAAGTCTATTCTCTATGTCTACATCTTTATCCCTGCCCTGCTTTTAAATAAAGTTTTATGAAAACAGACATACCCAATCATTTACAGATTTTCTATGGCTGCTTTTATGATACAATGGCAGAGTTGAGTAGCTGCAACAGAGATCCTATGGCCCCCCAAATTTACTAAACATATACTCTCTGGTCCTTTACAGAAAGTTTGCTGACCCCCAACTCCTTAAAGATTTAAGGTACTGTCCGTATTTCACATTTTAGATTATATGTACTGTACCATTTTTTAATTGAATTTTTTTCTTTCCTAACAAGATCATGTAAGGGATCTTTTTCATTCTTGCCTTCTTCACAGGGCTAGCATGTAGCGTCTTCAACAATTGTAGTAGCAGCTGTCATGCACTGAATGACTAGTACTGCCACACTTTACACTGAGCATATTATAGGCATTTTCTCTAACAAAGTCCTGCTGTGTCTGTTGGTATCACAATTTTAGTGATGTGGAAGTTGAGGCTCAGAGTGGTTGAGTAATTTGCAGAGTTGTAAAGACAGTATGTGTCACTATAGGGATCCAACCCTAAATTTAGTCGGTGTCCCTTCCATTACCAGACCCCACCTGGAGCAATTATGAAGCTTTCATTTTCTATCATCAATGCCCCATCATAGTCTGTGCTTCCCTCCCTCATCCCTTTGTTCATGTCAGTCTGTACAGTATCTCCACCAGCCCACGCTGCCTTTTGAAATGCTGTTATTTCTTCAAGGTTGAGAGGAAATACCGCTCTCCTCTTATCAGTACTTTCTTCCCCTCATTCCCTGTCCTTGGCTGTCAGAACTCAAAGGAGTCTGTGCAGCTTAGCAAGCATTTGCTGATGTTTGCATAAGTAGTCCCTGTGTTGGGCACTCTGTGTGTGGGGGGCAGGGAATGTGTATTTGGGAGACTGTGTGTGGTGTGTGAGTATAGCTGGATGTGTGTATGGTGTGTAATTGTATAGCCATGAATGTGGCTCTATATGTGGGAGGGGTGTGTGTGGTATGTACGTGTGTGACTGTGTATGTGTGACTGCGTGATATGTATGTGTGTTGTGAGTGGCTGAGTGTGTTGGTAGGTGAGTATGGCTGTGTGTGGTGTGAGTCTATGTGTGAGACTGTCTGTGTATGCACTGCTGTGTGTGGTGTTTGAGTGGAAGTGGGTACTGACCAATCAGAACAGACACAGCCTAGGCCCTCAGTGGGTCTTGGAGGACCCAGATGTTAAGCCTTTATTTGCTAGACTATGGCGAGGTCTGGGGAAGGGAAGGAGTGTACACTTAAGAGGATTCAAAGCTGGGCCTTGTAAACGAGTAGGAGAGCCTCAAGAATTAGAGATTCTGTTATCTTCATTTTGAAAACAGGCAAATAGGTGGATACTTTTAAGGAAGCCTTTTCAGAAACGATTAAACATAATGGGAATTTCAGTTAACTTAACAGTTAGGCAGAAAAATCGAACGCATACCCAAATGGAAGCTCCTTTACTTGTAGGTGAATTCGAGTCTAGACTGTCATTGTTTAGTGGTATTAAGAAAAGTGACATTGTGCAAATCATACAAATATCTTTTGGGGCTGGACAAAGCTGGGGCCTTCTTTTTGCTCTGGTGGGTAGCTTTAAATATCTGTGGAAGTTTGTCACTTGAAAGTAAGTAAAGGCATTCTATCCGAGTATTCCAGTTAATTGAGGTTATTTCTGACGGATGGTTCCAAAGGGATGGTATATACCCACCCCTTCAACCAGGACGAAAGATTCCCTGGGGTCTGGCCTGACCCAAGGAATAAAGGTGTTGGCCATTTGTGTTCATTCTCAGGGTTCAGAGATGGGCAGTGAGAAGGAGCAGAGCCCAGAACGGCACCTGCCTGAGGAAGGGGAACGGGGTAATAAGCCATGGAGAGTGGATGACTCAGAGGGTTCTTGGATCCCAGATGGGGAGAAAGAGCATGGGCAAGCAAGCCTACCAGAGGGGCCACAAGGGCTCTATCCAGAGAAGCCACCGCAGGATGTCACTGTCCCCGCTGGAGAGCCAGGGGACCTCTCTGCTCATCCGAGGCCCGAGGCTGATGAGAAGCCCTTTATATGTGCCCAGTGTGGCAAAACCTTCAATAATACCTCCAACCTGAGAACACACCAGCGGATCCACACAGGCGAGAAACCCTACAAGTGTTCTGAGTGTGGCAAGAGCTTCTCGAGAAGCTCCAACCGCATCCGGCACGAGCGCATCCACCTGGAGGAGAAGCACTATAAGTGCCCCAACTGCGAGGAGAGCTTCCGGCGGCACTCGGACCTCACCACGCACCAGCAGGACCACCTGGGCAGGTGGCCCTTCCGCTGCGACATCTGCGGCAAGAGCTTCAGCCAGAGCTCGGCGCTGGCCGTGCACTACCGGACCCACCTGGAGCCGGCGCCCTACATCTGCTGCGAGTGCGGGAAGAGCTTCAGCAACAGCTCCAGCTTCGGCGTGCACCACCGCACCCACACGGGTGAGCGGCCCTATGAGTGTGCCGAGTGCGGGCGGACCTTCAGCGACATCTCCAACTTTGGGGCGCACCAGAGG